TACCCATAAGGAGCTGTACATGCCGCAGTTTTTGCGTGGCTGTGTCTTTAGTTGAAAGCCCAGTGGCGATCTGCTCATCTGTCATCGAAAATAATATGCTACACAGGGGCGGACTGGCCAACTGTGTGTTCTGGAGAATCACAGTACGCCACAGGGCCGTCAGCGAACCGAGCCGGTCGCCAGCGGGCCGTGGCTAATCAGGCTCGGTTCACTGACGGCCGGCACCGCCCTTTATTTATTTAACTGTGTTTAAACTGCATCATGTAAGTTGCGCTGGCAGGCGACAGAGGTCCACAGCTTCCCGCAGCGAGGCTCCCCCCGCCCTCCAGTTGACAGTTAAGGAGCGTTGAGCTTTTTCCTCTCATCATCGCTCTCTGTGTCCCTCTCGTTCTGTACTCTCAGTGCAGATTGGACACACTGTCAGGTTTATATATCATCCATCACAGAGACCAGCAGTATCATCTGACCGGAGGCAGCTGTGCAGGAACAGATAAACTCTGAGGTAGACGAGTGAATTCATCTCAACTCCACGCCGCTCCTCCGCTCCCTTCAGCGTCACCACATCACCCCAATTCTGGCCTCACTGCACTGGCTTCCAATTCGGTTCCGAATTGATTTTAAACTCCTTTTATTTGTTTTCAAAGCACTAAATGAGCTGGCTCCGGCCTATACTGTATAGCAGAACTCCTCCAGCGCTACACCCCAGCCAGAGCTTTAAGGTCTGCTGACCAGCTGCTGCTGGTAGTGCCCAAGACCAGGCTCAAAACCCAGAGGGCACCGAGCCTTCGCAGCAGCTGGCCCCAGGCTCTGGAACACTCTGNACACACACACACACACACACACACACACACACACACACACACACACACACACACACACACACACACACACACACACACACACACAAAATTAACATGATGTCAATGTCTATTATACAAACAAGTCCAGTCTCATGACATGCAATAAACTGTGTGTTTACAAGCTGCATCCCTTGCATCATGTGCTCTCTGCAGTTTGTGCAAATAAGCGGCTGCATGTCGACACAAAGAATATTTGCACACATTTCCATATCCTGTGCCGAGTCTCAAAGACCCTGCTGTGAAATGAGGTTTTAGCTCGTCAGGAAATGTTTGATAGATATGTCTGCCGTTTCAAAACAAACAAAGGTATAGGATGTGATTTATTTCGTATCATGCTATCAAGTATTTTTTTCTATACTTCCTGTATTGCATATTCAAAGCAATACTTCTTACCTTTATTTTATTATCACATACACATTTATTATTTCAAAACCAGACATTTTTAATCTCTTATCATTATTTTATTATATTTTTTCAAGCATGATTTTTTAATTGAAGACAATTTGACCCCTTCTTGAATTCATTGTATTCTAATTGTATTTAATAAATATTTCAAAGCAACACTTCTCTTCCCTGTTTGAGTTGTTATCATTTTATTATTTCTATTATAAGCACAAAATAACTAATGCAAGAATTTGTATTTCCTCATGTATATGTACTTTTCTAAATGCTATTTTATTTCTACTTGATGTTTATTTATAGTCTAATTTCTCTTTTGTACAATGCCTTGTCTTTTTATGCTGCCTATATTATTATTATTAGAAATTTAGATTTAAATTCAAGACTTTTTTTGTCGCTTTTATTCAATTTTGTATATTGTTTGTTATTATTTGCTGCTTCAAAGAATATTGAAATAGTATAAGTTACATTTTTAATAGATCTGAGAGTAACGTACACTTTTATTCATTTCAATTAATATTTGTGTTCTTATTTGCTGCTAATAATAATAATAATATTGGAATAGTCAAAATAGTAAATGTGTTCAGGTAATCAGAGTGACGTGCCAGGAATAGTGAAATAGTCAAACTAATATATATTTGTAATAGATACTGAGAGTAACGTACGTGCCAGGCGCCCCCCGGCGGGCCCCTCCCCAGCACCAGGTGAGGGACTGATCTCTCAGGCTCGTATCTCCAGTCCAGAGGAGACGAGTGGTCCAGACCAAAGTCGCTGTCAGGGAGCAGCAGCGAATCAAAAAGCACCGCCACGGGGTTAGAGGAGCGGCCCTCCAGACCCTCACACAGGTACTCCAGGTCCTACACACACACACACACACACACACACACACACACACACACACACACACAGAGAGAGACACACACACACACACACACACACACACACACACACACACACACACACACACACACAGAGAGAGACACACACACACACACACACACACACAGCTCTATAAGTCAGCAGATAAAGGAAATATTTACATGAAAGATTCTAAAGACATGTAAACAATAACATATGTATTATAACAATAATAACAAAGCTGTAGAGTTGGAAACAAAACATTACATTTTGCAGATTTTATGTTTACCAATTTTAAGAACAACAGTTCAGCCGATGTCCTGTTTGTGTGTGTGAGTGTGTGTGTGAGTGTGTGAGTGTGTGCTTGTGAGTATGTGTGCGTCTGAAACAGTGTGTGTGCTTGTGAGACAGTGTGTCCGTCTGTGTGTGCATGCGTGAGTGTTACTCTGTGTGTGTGTGTGTGTGTGTGTGTGTGTGTGTGTGTGTGTGTGTGTGTGTGTGTGTGTGTGTGTGTGTGTGTGTGTGTGTGTTACCTGCTCCATCAGTGACAGATGTGGCTGTTCCCCCAGTTTGCTGCTCAGCAGGGGGTTTGGGTGCGATACCTCCGGCGACAGGTAGGGGATCCGACCCGACAGCAGGTAGGAGAGGCAGATCCCTGAGGGGCCGTTACCTGAGAGAGAGAGAGGGAGAGAGAGAGAGAGAGAGAGAGAGAGAGAGAGAGAGAGAGAGAGTTAATTAACACTTTGAACCCTTTGGAGTTCAGAGACACAGCAGCAGGCTTCAAGGTTCAAGGCTGTTATTGTCATGTAGAGCGACAGTGTGGTTATGTCAATGAAGATCTGAGGTCACAGGCTCTTCCAACAGGGCAACACTATAACACAGATCAAATATTAATTGCAATTTGACATATTAGATAAATAACTATTAAAGGTGGGGTAGGTCATTTTGGAGAAACCAGCTCGAGTGCGCTAGAATTTGAAAATACACAACCGGAACAAATCTGCCACTTCCTTACAGAGCCCCTCCTCCAACACACAGGAAAGCGCACATGACCAATGAGGGCACGAGATAAGTTTGTGCACAGATGGAAGGCTGACAGGCAGGTAGGCCATCCAGTTATTTTAGCCGGGCCGGCTCAGATGATTGGTCGTGCTTTTTACAGCGCCACGGCTTCCACAGATTGATTTTTTGTCAAAGCACTTCAGATATTCATTGCTATCGGGATGTTGAGAGCATTCCATGGAATATAACAACAAGTGTATCTCGAGCCGGTTTCTCAAACTTACCTCCCCCACCTTTAAGTTGCAAACAGATGAAGGATGTTCTCTCAAGAGTTCAGGTGTTGAAAAGTCTTATGGCCCGTGGATGAAATGAGTCCTGTGGTCTCAGACCTGATGCTGCGGTCTCCATTAACACTTTAAACCTCTTTTCTAGATGTAATCATTATTCATTTTGTTTTCTAATAAGCATTACATTTGTGGGTTTAAGAGACTTTAAATATTATTTGTATCGTATTAAATGTCATTATAATAAGTAAGAAACCTGTAAGACTTGTTAACGCTGCTTTTTTATCGATTTTATTATATTATTATTAGCAAATATAAATGTTTTAACACAAGACGTTTTATCCCTTTTTATTATTTTAAGGATTAACATTTGTATTGGAATTTTTGTGTGTTTTGAATAACCTCGTTATGAAAGTCATCGGAGCGACAGCATGACTCACATTCACCTGTGCTACCACTCCGCAGAAGCTCAGAAGCTCAAAGCAGTGAAAATGAAACACATTACAGACAGAAAAGAAGACAATTATTAAAAATAAAGTATTTATAGAAATCAATTATAAAGAGAAATAGTCAGTTTATCGACATCTGCCTCATATGTTATTTTAAACAGATTCATTCAAAGACTTTCTAGTATTTCTGAAACTATCCCATGCTACTAAACTGCTTTTATTCTTTTGGACAGATCATATGATATTTAGCACAGTTGTCTCCTATTTTTAAACACTTAAGGTGTGTTCTTCAATGTTACCTGGGAATGTAGCTGAGACTTTGCGCTGCGTTCAGGCGCTTTGGAGAAGGTAGGAAAAAGGGGAATTGTGCCGTTTCATATTGAGCTACAAATTACACATACGCAGCGAAGCAAAGTCAGTCAGTGAGAAGCTGCGTCCGCTCTAAGGCTCTCCATTCCTATTATGGAAAGTGTGTGTGAGTGTGTGAGTGTGAGTGTGTGTGAGTGTGTGTGTGTGTGTGTGTGTGTGTGTGTGTGTGTGTGTGTGTGTGTGTGTGTGTGTGTGTGTGTGTGTGTGTGTGTGTGTGTGTCGTCTCTCAGTCTCTCAGTTTTTCTGAGATTATTAGTTATGTAACTGCTGCCTTTTGTTCAGCGCTCACTATCATGAGTGAACAGTTGTTCAGGAAGCACAGGGTCTCTCAGGTGAATCTGAGGTTTCCTATGAAATCTCAGATGCTGATAAAGCTAAATGTGTCGGACATGAACTGAAGGACTGGGTTCAAGGTCCCTCGCCCTAACAGCTGGAGAAGCCTTGAGCAAAATGCAAAACCCATCAGTAACAGCTGTAATCTATATCGTGGTGATACAGAAAGTGAACAGGAAGTTAGATGTAATCCCAGGGGGGAGGTACACTGAAGTACACTTAATTTAAGTATATACTTATATGGCAACTTGATTAACATACTAAAAGTGTGCTATTTTCAATGTACAACAAATATTGTATATCTTAAATGCTATTGGAGATATTCTTCATGCATTCAAGTTGTGCTATTTAGAGACACTATTAAGATGCAGTAAAATAAACTTAAGTAATCACTTTTTTTGCTTATATGTACTTTAATAATGTACATTTTTACTCTAAGTATAATCCCCTTTTAGATAACTATACTGATTAATAACTGTTTAGCTGAACATGTTGTACTTCAATATATTTAAGTGCAATTCAGTAGTGACTCAAGATAGAAAAGTAGAAGTACTTTCTCATACCATAGGCATATAAAAAACAACCTATACTATCAGAATGGGTTGGGGAATAGTGTTAGTACATATGGATGGAAACGCATCAGCAGTCTCTCATAGTGACTTGCAGGGCTAAAAATAGACTCTGCCTCTGCTGCATCTTGAATATTAAGTGTGAATGAATGAGAAAACCTCTGTGCCTGTGTGTGAGTGAATAAAACAAAAGGGTGAGAGAACAAGAAAGAGAGAGAAAGGCAGATGCAACCTAGGCTGCCATGTTTGGGGATTTCTGTCAGTGGAAGATGTACAGTGGAGCAGCAGCAGCGGGAGGAACAGCTGATGTTTGGGGACGGAGATGGGAGGTGTTATGTTCTTGGTCGAGACAGAAAACGAAAAACAAGCCCTGCGTTTGGAGTAGGTGACGGTTTGGGGGGGGTGGAGGGGGTGTGGCTGTGAAAGAGGGCGGCGCTACTGTACTATATGAAGGACCCCATGTATATGTACTCGAATACAAGCTCTCCTGTCCTAACCAAACAGGTCGGATGTGTATGAGGCCGCTTTTGTGAAGCGATGTCTTTTCAGCTCACACCTGGAACGAGGAAGCACTGAGAGTTTTTTTTTAATTTACATCTTTTTTTGTTGTTGCTCCTGCTGTTAAGAAACAAAGGAGTTATTTCTTTGTATGACTTTTAAGGGATGTCATTGGAATATGTGCTTTTGGCTCAATAATCGGAATATTTAGTTTGGGAGCTGTAGTGCAACCTATGACACCGGCAGGCAGGAAACTATATTTACCACTACATGTATTACACTTTAGATTTGCACACCTTTTTGTCACAAGTTGCTGACAACGCAATAACTTTCCTCATCAGATAAGTGCGGCACTTCCTACGTGGTTTTACGCACACACGATACGCTTGAGCTCCAGGCGAGACAAGCTTAACGTGGTGTGTGCTGCATAAGAAGATTAAAACATAACCCAAATAATAAACCTCCAGCCATCAAAATGACAGACGGTGCCAGACAGAGGAGCAGCACGTCGGGCTCTGCAAAGGATGCTGCCGCAGAGGAGTCGGGAGGTGGAGTGGCGCTCAAGAAGGAAATCGGGCTTGTGAGCGCCTGCGGAATCATCGTTGGTAAGTGATCAGTCCGCCAATTCTGCCATATGGTGCTAACAGTTGTCTAACTCACCCCCAAGCTTCAATTTCCCCTTCCATGTTGCCTTTGCAGTTCATTTGTGCGTCTTGGAAAGTATAAAAAGTATATTTGATGGTGAGGGATGTAAGGAGACAGATGGAGAAAATGCATATATGGAGGAGTGGGTGCTGCCACCTGTGTTTCAGTGTGATTGTGAACAGGGGTGTAAAAGCTGCCCTGGGATCCCCCCCCCTTAATAGGTCATCATCAGATGTCATCATTTCTTTGCCTGGCCAGGGATGGTTATGTCGTCACCCTCACTCAGCTCTGATGTTGGAGACTAGGAACATTCAAAGCCATTTGTAGGCTCACGTGACTGATCTGGACACAGTGTAATGGCTGGAGACAGTGGACAGTCATAAATTGGCTTGTAGCACCAGAGATAAAAATCTTAAAGAGACATTCCAACTATTGTTATAAATGAAGCTCATGTGGTACTAAGTTGTTTTATTTCTTATGTAGCTCTGGAGGGGGTCTTTGAAATCTGATAAATTAGCCCTGGTGGTATCATTAGAGTACATTTGATTTGCATTGTGGGAAATGTAGTAGCCAGGGTTTTTCAGTCTTTTGCAAGCCTCTCAGTTTTGTGGAATTACGATTTCTTAATCACAAGCGCTAAATCGGTTGCCCTATTAATACATTAATTGTTTCAGTTCGACTTTGTACCGGGCTTTAAGGAATTACATAGATTTTGTTTTACAATACGGACTTGTGTAATGCCTAAATTGCAGGAGGACAATTTTGTTTACTCCAGATTTAAGAAAAACATCTTTGTTTGATCAAATCCTCCAAAACAACACCACTTGGTCAATAATCCAACCTCTTATCCAATGAGATCTTGGGGGTAAAGGACACACATGCAGTAGCAGGGCTGAACAGAGGAGAATTCAATACAGACTACAAACAAGCAGAAATAACAACATCAGGAGACAGATGGGTCAGTAGGCGCATGCAGGAGGATATATGGCACAGGTTGTCCAGGTGAGTGTGTGTGGTCTTCGGATGACCTTGGCATCGTGAAGAAAAGGGTGGGGATGACTCATCCGAACGTGCGTTTCCAGGGTAACGGGATGAAAGAAGGCAGAGTGAGAGTGTCTGCACATGGGAAGTCCCGAGAGAAAGACAGGACAGGAGCTGGGGAAAAGGGAGGATGAGGGAGAGATGAAGAACAACCTTGGCAGAAGGCTTTGTACTTGGTAACTTACTGCCTACATCCTTGAGGTTTTACACTTGAGGCCTCATTTCAACTATGCTTTAAGTAGCTCAGTTTACGTTAAGCTTAACCAACTAAATGTACACTTTCACACCTTTCTAGGATCTGAGATAGTTGCAAGAATATATGAGAATGTGATTCCGCCAACATTCCTCTTTGTTGCCCCACACTTGATCGTATCTTTGCAACAACACGTAGATAATATAATTGATAAGGCATTTGACTATCCATTCATCAGCTGCCGATTAAGAAACAGGTTGGCAGCGACTCGTGCCACCTTAGAGCCTTTCTTTACAGCCGAGCACAGTCCATACTGTAGGTGCAGTCACCAGATTTTTCGTCCTTGAGTGAGTCACTCATTCATGCCCCCCCGGCTCACATTGTCATGTGGGAGAGAGTCCAGGTCAGGAGACTCGTCTGATCCTCTGGTTGTGAACATGCCCCGCTGGGTTTCCATGAAAAGGGCCGAGCACACGAGAACATCAAACGTTTTTTATGGCCTATTGTACAGTCCAGGCACTTATCACTCACACACATAAATCCAGCACGTGCAAGACGGGGGATTGGGATTAGAAGTGAACTTTTGGCCACTTGGAGAAAAAAATGCCCCACCCTGATAACGCTGTTCTATTAGCTCGTCTGGCTTAGCCGTGTCTGAGCTCCAGTCCATGCCCTCTCATTACATTACTCCACAAATTCACTTTTATCAATCATTGAGTTTTATTCCATACGAGTAGCTTTTATGTTTTACATCCGCAATCAAAAGTCTTGATGACACTCCTCTTTCTCGTAAATTGCTTCCTTGTTGTAAATTGCTTTAGTGTAATGACACACACACACACACACACACACACACACGTACAAACATGTACACACTCACATGTAAACACACATCTGTGTCCTTTTACACTGTTTAGCATTTGTTTTACTCCATACATGCTCTCCATCAAATCATCAGGGAGAGTTAGCACTGAACAAACATGAACTTACATCAATTACTGAAAGACACACTCACATCTCCACCAGGATATCATCTAAAACATCTGATTTTGATGTAAGGCAAAATCACCACTGCTTCTTAAATTAAATCTGAAATGATAGGTATGTTCCATGCCATTATAATTTGTTTTATATTTATTTCCAGCCTTAATGTCTACCGCTAAACAATTTCATTTGCATACTTATTTATATAATGTGTCAGTTACATGAGTGGGTCCATAAGGAATCTTTGTAAGAAACCTACATTTACAAAATAAAGTCTAAACATTGTCATGGTGGCCAGAAAAAAACCTCCCTGTTAGTCACTTTTAGTTGCCAATATTTGAAGCAATCAGACACAAACATTTTCTTTTTGTAGAAGGACTTCACATCTGGATAAGGTTTCCAAAAAATATAATTGATTCTACAGTCACCGACTTGTAAAACATGTTTTCTTTTACATTCTTTTGAATTTGATTTGACATATGCCATTTGAAGCTGGGAGAAATCAAACAGCTTCTGGAGAAGCTTCCTCTTCAAAATCAGATTACTCAACACAGCTTCCCCCATTCTCGTTTTACTGACACAATTGGCCAGTCAGGGACAGGAGCCGAGCTAGATGACAGGGAGTCAACAAGTGGGAAGAAGTAGGAGAACAAAAAGGAGAAAAAGCAGTCTCCCTTTAAACAAAAAACAATAAACAAACAACAATATTAGTGCACCAGCAGGGAGCACTGGCTCTCAAAATAGTCTGTGAGCGAGGACTGTGTGTGTGTGTGTGTGTGTGTGTGTGTGTGTGTGTGTGTGTGTGTGTGTGTGTGTGTGTGTGTGTGTGTGTGTGTGTGTGTGTGTGTGTGTGTGTGTGTGTGTGTGTGTGTGTGTGTGTGTGAGATAGTGTCGT